CCAATTTAATGTGTAGTTTTAATAGTAAATTTGTAATAAGTAGACGATAACAGTTGAACAGAAGGCCCAGTGTAAGATTAGCGTTGCTAAACTGGTTTTTGTATAATTGCACCTTCTTTAAATAAAGTTTATTATTATTAGTGTTTAAAGCGCTGCTTATTATGATAGTTGGTAAAAAAGTTGTTTTTCCTATAATTATGTCGTTTTCAAACGTACGCGTTCAGAAAAAGTGTTAAATGTAAAGTGAAGTTAGAAAAAAAATTCTAAATACAGCTTACTATACAGTTTACCCGAATTGAAAAGGCAGTTCTTTGCTGTCTAGAGTAAGTGGGGAGCATCAGAGAAGAAGTAAATGAATCGTGTTGGAGCAAAGAGATTGACTGTTCGATATACAAAATCAACTTTGTACTCTTCCCCAACAATCCCAGCGTGTAGCTCATAGAACTTCCTATTCGGCGAAGCACCATCACTGACAGCAGCACATACCCATAAATTGCACCCTGACTCAAGAATGGAAACAGTTTTCCAAAACAATGGCATTATTTAGTAAGCTGTAACATTCTCAGTGCTGAAACATCCAAGGATATATTTCAGGTCACTTGCAACAACCCTGACCATGAATGCCAAATCATGACTGACAAGGGTAGTAGTGAGTCCAGAACTGCCACATTAACATCATCATCACCAAGATCAACGAAACCGATGAGTTCATTGCTGTGTTTGTCAAAAACTAAATTTGACTGAATTCTCATGTCGTCAAATGACAATACAACATACCTCTGCACATCAAACAGTTGGTCTGCTCTCATAATTGGGTAACATTGCTTCATTGAAACCAGGTTTTGGTTTGAAGAAGTTCCTGTAGTCCCTTAAAACCCGTTCACTAGGCAACACTAAAACACCAGATGATACCAGTTCTCGGTATGCTGATGGTGACTTGGAGTGTAAGGAGAGGCAAAATCTGATAAGGTGGGGATGATATCTTCGACCGAACTTGTGGGATGCCAGAAGTTTCTTCTGCCGTTCCCAGAACAAGTTCAAATGGGGCGAAGTTTTAAGGTCACTCTTGTCCAAAATACTCAAGATGTCGTCTTCAAGAGTTTTATTGATCTCAATACTGTTAGAATGAATCTCCCTTTGCATATTCACAAGCTGGCTCTCGAGATCTTTACACCTTACACGTTGTTGCTGGATGGTGGCAATTGCTTTCTGTGCAGATTTCAAAGGCACCTTTCTTTGTTTAGCTTCGAAAAGGCTCAAACAACTATGACAGGAATCTTGGTCTGCTAAATTGACAATACTGCACAATTCTCTGACCTGGCAAACACCTTAACTTTGAATGGTGGACCATCATCACAATACAACTCTGGAGCAATGGGTACAGAGTGCTTGGTAACTTGTGAAATACCAACAATAGGATCAACTGCATGTAAAGTTTCAGGCAAACCAGGACAAACAGAAAATGACTGGACTACTTTACACAATGATGGCGCAGATATATCAAACAAAGAACGTTTATGTTCATAATAAATTTCATGGGTGTCGAGAAAAAAACAACCAAAGCCAGCTATAGAAAACCCAAGACCAGAATCCACTCTTATCGAATATAATGGTAGTGCATGTTCAGAGTCAAAGTAATCCAGCGTAAAATCATGTTCGGTTTCTTTTCTAGACCACCCAGATAGTTTTACACGAGAAATTACACTTTTAAAATCGTCTAAATGTTTATATACCTTCCATTTTATGCCACTAGTGGAGGGCTCAATAGGCGTTTCATGCCTTTCACTTTTTCTCCTTGAGTGTGTCTCCGAGTCAAACGATTTTTTTTTTTAAATTTAAAATTGGTATTGCCCCAGGAGTCAATCTTTTACGAGTAGAATATGCAACATAAACAAAGGGCCATTCAAGGATTCATACATCACACATTTCATATATTAGCCTATACAAGACAATATATTTGGTCACGCATCGATTTCGCAGATGAGCAGTGTACGCGCCTCAATTTGCCGTCTTAAATCCTGATCTATGACACGATTTTTTGTTATTTGTCTTATCCACTCTTCACTAGTTTTCCGAGATAACTCGTCTTCCCCTTTAGGCAACGCAAAAATACTTATTCCAGTACTTTTTCGACTAGTATTGCAGCCAAAAATGCCGCAGTTAGCGCTCGGCATAAGCAACAGCGGCGAAATGAAGCAAGAATATTTTGAAATACGATATGGCTCCATATTGTTTCTATTCAACAATGGGCCATTGATGCACCTTCGTTGTGACGTCACAGCCATGAATCAGAACAATAACATAATTCGTCACGTGACCCATCTTTCCTACCATGTCTATGTTTCTATTAACTATGGTGTGATTATCAATCATGCTGTTGACTCGTCGAACCTTGAGCCAAAACGTTACTTTATTTGTATCATAAAGAGTTTACAATTACATCAAAAGTAATCCACAACACAAGGATACTTCACTTGATCTGCTATGTGACAATGGACTCATTTAAGACAAACTTTGACTTTGGTAAGTATACTGTATATACATACAGTTTATACTTCGTAATTCGATTCTTCTGTTCGCCGTAATTTGTAATTTTGAAAACTGACGAATACCTGTATTCCTTCCAACAGTGTTTTGGCCCGATCTATTGACGTAAATAGATTTATCTAGTTGGCAATGTTAATGAATGAGTTCGAATTTCATTGACATTATAAATGCAAAATAAAAACACAGTTAATTAAAGCAGGCAAAGCTATCATGGCCACACAGATGCGTATACTGTCACACAGTGATATCAGCAGTACACCCACAAACAAATACATGCGAGATTTCCGAGGCACGTTATATTCTCATTTGCATTCAGAACTAATCTACTGATCACTCAATCGCGTGCGCCAGCAAAAGGTGAAAATTGCAAGCTAAAATTGACCATTTTGTTGACCAGCAAGAACATAGCGTTTGAACATTAATAATGACTGCCTTCTTGTAATTTAAGCCTTAAAGCAAAAATTATATGAATATTGCGCACAGAACATGCCATGTTGGATGAATAGGTAACAATAACAGGAAGTGGTATCAACATATAAGTTATGCTTCTCAAATGAGTTCCAATCATTGTTTAATTTCTCTCTGCAGATAGAACTATTTATGATCAACCATTCGATATTCCTTTATTCAATGTTCCATCAAGAAAAAATGAAGACTGGAATTGGAAAGGTAAGCGAGTTAAGAGACCTACAAATCTAAACACTTGCATAAACGTAGAAGTTAAATAAAACACGAAAACCTAATACACGCGCGAAAGAATTCAGAGTTATATCGCAACCAGATATCATGTTTACAATTTTCGTCACAAATATTATACGACCTTATACTGAACTGGCTATACGTCTCAATATTACATAATTTAAATAAGGTTAAGCAGTGTTGAATACATGTAACAATGTTTTTTGAGTGTAATAAACAGCGTAACTGCTTTGGGACACCCGATGTAATTAAAAGGAAAGATTTGTAAAGCATCTTGGCCAACTGTTCACAAATGTTCACATACATTGGTTTTCGACGAAAATTTTTTGCGTATTTCCGCGAAGAACCGGAAATACCAATCTAACAGGAAGTTGATAGTCTCGTTGCATGTAGACTAAAATAGAATAAATTTTCCATGTCTGTAGAGGCTTATGTAAACCGAGAAGAAGTTGGTATAGCTATGTATGTAAATCCGAGATTGTATTTCCCAAGGATGTTTACCCTATAATTAGCGCTCTTCCAACAAAAAGTGCGACTCTATTTCTGGAAAAGGGTAAGATAAGATAAGATAAGATAGATAAGATAAAGGTTACTTTTTAGACAGGCTTACTCCTTCAGCAGATGCTGATTTCCAAGGAGGGGGTGCAAATTTGAAAGGTACATGAATCAAGTAACATAACAAACACTAATAATATAAATATTTATATATATATATATATATATATATATATATATATATATATATATATATATATATATATATATATATATATATATATATATAACAAAGGGTGCGATTGATCTAAAGCAGGCTAAAGTAGGCTAGTGTCAGCAATCAAAGTATTAAATGAATTCAAATAATCTGCAATTCTCAGATTGCCAGATAATTCATTCCAAAGTTTCGCACCGCAAAACCCAATACTTTTCTTTAAGTATTCAGTATTAGGTTTCTGTAAATACAATTTGAATTTGTTATTACGTAAGTTATAAATTTGTTGTGAATTTTCAAAGATTTCGGTCAAAGCAACTGGTGCTTGCGAATGAGTCATTTTATACATAAGTGGGCCTTCATAATCAGCCTGCGTTCTTTTCAACCCAACGCATATAACGCTGCTTCAGACTGACCGTGCTCATTTCTATAACCTAATATGACCCTTCCTGCTCTATTTTGTAAAGTCTGAATTCCATTTGAAAGCGTGGCACCAATTGGGTCCCACACAAGGCAGCAGTAGTCAAAATAAGGTTGAACCAAAGCATAATAGACTGATATAAGTAACTCACGAGAAACATATATAACTTTTTAGTCTTCTGATTGCACCAATTCCTGAGGACGCCTAGATCTTTTTACATATTTTCTCCAAATGATTGTCCCAGGATAAAAATTGGTCAATTTGAATACCCAACGATTTAGTTTTTGTTACTCGTTTAATGGGTACATTATGAATCATAATTTTAGGTTCAGATGTGAGATTATTAGGATTAAATGGACTGCAATTACTAAATATTCAATCTTTGTAAGATTAAGACTTAATTTATTAGCTAATAGCCACTCTTTAATATTAATCAAGTCGCAATTAATTTTAGATTGAATCTGTTGTATTGTCTATTGACCTGCCAGAAACAGGTGTTTTTTTCTGGAATGAACCGACGCGCCACTTTGCTGAAAGAAATAGGCCGCGGTCACGCTAGTGCTAGAATCGTGCTTGCTTGAACTAAATCCTCTTGAATCGCTCAACACATCATCTTACAAGCGCGCTTGCTAGTGTGACCGCGCAAAACAAAAAACTCAAGCATGCTTGAAATTTGACTCGATTTGCTTGAAATTTCAAAGGCACCGAAGCACGATCCAAACACACTACAGGGTGGATATTATAGAGTAAAACCAGGAACATCGGAACAACGGAACACCAGAGCACGGAACACCGGAACAGCATCATTCCGGCACACGGAACACCGGAACACTAAAAATTCTTAATTTGTTAAAAATTAGAAACAAAATTACCGAGGGGTGTGGAATTATTGCTGGAATAATTATTGCGTAAAACATGCTTTTTAAAAATATTCTGACTTGCCGATTCCTACTATAAATTACGAACTGAAATCAGTCTCAAATTAACAAATATTGTCCGAAATGAAGAAATCAAACCTTGTTGCTGGTATTTGTTGACAATAAATGGCTATCTGACTTTGTTTGTTATTCAAAACATGACCTTTGGCCGGCTTTTGGTCAATATTAATAGTGTAACAACAGTTAGTCCATGGGATTCGCAACAAATAAGTCGTCTCAAAAAGGGCCCAAAAATCGTTGCAATTTTAATAACATTTATTGAATGGAGAGTTCGGATACCCGGCTATCATGTCGTATCATGACATTTTAAATGCAATGTATTGGTAAGTGACACGATTAATACATTATAAGGTTTGAAAAACAGAACTATTATTATCCTTTATTTTTCCAAGCCCGTGTCTTTGACATGAACCTTTTAAAAGTATCTCTCGGGAAACTATATGTATCGAAATACCAATGGTTAACTGTAACGTCTTTGGGGTGATTTCACCTTGTTAAAATTGTGTAAAGTACTTGTCTGCTTTCACTAACGTTCAAAACGATGTTTAAAAATGAACTGAATTCACCACACTTATTTGCTTTTTACTTTTTTACTCTATTTTACAAAATATGGCAAAACCAGTCTTTCTATAGGCTATTTTTATACTCCTACAAACACGGGAGCCTAGGTCCCCGATAACACGTTTTCAAAATGGCTGCCGAAACAGGTAGGTTAATTTTCATATTTTAATATTTCTTTCGCAATTAATATAACTCGTGTAGGGACAAAATATAACCTGGTCAGCGGCTGGGTCAGACAGAACTAATTTATGATAAACTTAAATAGTAACAAAGAAGTAAAAAGTAAACAAAGTGTGTTGATAAAATAAAGATATTTTATACTATATACGGTGTGAATTCTACATTGGTGACCCCGTATTTACTTCATCATTATGACGACTCTGTCAATATTATGTTAATGTCTGCGAA